GCCATTCGGAAGTTGGGGTCTCCAAAATGGCCGTTTTGTAGGCGTCCACAGCTTCTTCAGGTGATGAAAATCTCTGTCCACGCAATTTATTCTTTATTTTAGGGAAAGTATAGAAATCATCAGGGTTTAGGTCGGGGCTGTACGGCGGATGGTCTAATAATTCTATGTTTTCTTGATGTAAAAACTCTTTTGTTTAGTGTGCGGTGTGAGAACTCGCATTGTCGTGATGGAGGATGATGCGGCGGTTGCAGTTCTCTTTACGGAGTTCAGAAACGACCTGTGGCAAACAAATGCTAGCATACCAGTCTGCATTAACCGTTCTTTGTCCCTCAAGAGGAATAGTCGTAACATGGCCGGTTTTGGAGACAAACGTGGCTACCATTTTTTTTGCAACACTTCGTGAACGAACTATTTTTGTTGGCTGTAACTCATTTTCGAACACCCAAACTCGTGACTGGTTTTTTGTTTCGGGTTCGTACGCGTATATCCAGGATTCGTCACCTGATACGATGTTGTATACAGCATTCAAGGATCCTGCGTAGAATCTTTCGACAGTTCCGACGCACCAAGTAACGGGAACGGGCGAGCCGCTTTTTGCTCTTCACAGAGCGAATACGGTATCCATCGGGAAAACAACTTTTTTTACACCTAATTGTTCATGCAAGATTATTTGTATTTGACTCATGCCAATGTCTAAAGTTGCCTGAATTTCGCGGTATGTCACATGTTGATCTTCCTCAATCAGCTTACGCACAGCATCAACGTTTTCTTGGGCGACCAAGACTTGGGAGTAGTTTTTGGACGACCTTGACGGGGATCATCACTGAGCTTGAAATTCAGCAAACCAGCGATAAATTGTGGTTTTGGATGGGGCTTTATCACCAAATGCAGAAATCATCCGGTCAACACACTGTTTTTGTGTTAAACCACTTCGAAAGTCATAATAAATCATCGCTCTTGAATTTTCTCGAGTCAATTCCATTTTCTCAACGACTAAATAAGTTTGACAAAACCTTGTGACAAGAGGCTTTGTAGGCCATACAAAGACTAAAAACAAGCCCTGGTAGCTCAGGCGCCAGTAACCCAGGTTCGTTCTCTACAGGCACCCATAAAATTGTTAATTTTCTATGTGTATGTGTATATAGTCGGGTGATAGGTTGTCATAATAGTTAACAGAAAAATTAAAAACTCCTGTGCTACAAATATCATTTCTTAGTTTTAATTTTCTTCTTATTATGTAATCCTGAACAATGCTTCTGCTTAATTATTACTTTGCCCAGTTTTAAACGACTGTGCTGAAAAGAAATATACTACACGAGTTTGGCAAGTAACTTTAAAATTTGGCGCATTTAATAAGAAGTACCCGGAGACCAAGCTTAGCTCGGTTTTTTTAAGTTACATTTAGATACAAATTACATAAAGAATATTTTTTGATCTTATTGACATAATAGAAAAAAACTGCTAGTTATTTGAATAAAAAATCATGAGTGTAATTAGTTTAATTAAAATTTTCGTATTTTTATAAAATACTAAAAAAAAGGTCTCACCGACATCCCATGTGAGCTATTACGATCGTTTGTAATCTGTCAAAATTTACCTTCTTATATTGTAGCAGTTTTTTTATTGCTTGAAAACACGGACAAAAGGACATTTTCTAAAAATAAATCCTAGCTAGATCAATTTATTGCCCCCGAAACTACCTGGACACTAAATTTTATGAAAATCGTTGGAGCCGTTTTTATATATATACAGAATGGGGTCCCACATATATGCAATAAATGAAACCACAAGTATTACTAGTCCGTAGAAGTGTAGAAAAATTAAATATTAAATTAAAACCCGTAAAATAAAAAAAGTGAAATTTTCAAACAAAATAAATATTAAAATAAATTGAGTAAAAAGTGAACACTCTGTTTAGACAACGTACCTTGACCCCTTGGAAGAGTGACAACGTTGCACGCGGGTGGCACGCCGACAAAAGACTGTCGATATGTCGCAATACCAATAGTTTTCACTGCGTGGCAACGTCGCTTTTTAATGTTCAAGGATTCAAGTTCATTGAATCATTGACTTAGTGACCCAATTCTATAGAGTTCAAATTTGCTTAAAATTAGAACTCTACTTTTTGACCTAATTACTGGACCGATTACGTTCATTTTTTTGTATATCGTCAGCAAAGGCGATAACAAGTATATAGTTTCATTTATTGCATATATGTGGGACCCATTCTGTATATAAAATATATATATATATATATATATATATATATATATATATAGTACCTGGTTCACCGAGCTTTGCTCGGTATTTTTCGCTCGATTTTTTTTTAATACGTGTGTTTTGGAAATTATATTTAGATACAAAATTACATACTGATGAAATATAAATAATATTTTTTGATCTTAGCGACATAACAGAAAAACGGAACTGGTTATTTGAATAAAAAATCATGAGTGCAATTATTTTAATTTTAATTTTCGTGTTTTTAAAAAATACTAAAAAAAGGGCTCGAAAAAATAGATTTTGAAAAAAAGAAAGGAACTTAAAAAAAAATTAAAAAAAGTCGGTCAGTCGGTCGGTCTGGGCTCGAACCGGGGTTTTACGATTCTGTGACCGCCCATTATACCAATTAAGCTATTTAAAATCATTAACAATCTGTCAAAATTTACCTTCTTATTCTAACGATATTGTAGCAGTTTTTCATTGCCTAAAAACACGGACAATAAGACATTTTCTAAAAATAAATCCTAGCTAGATCAATTTATTATCCCCGAAACTTACGAAATTTACGAAACGAACTTTATGAAAATCGTTGGAGCCGTTTACGAGATCCCGATTATATATATATATATATATATATATATATATACACAGTAGAATCCCGATTATCCGAACATCCGATTATCCGGACTCATTCGTCTCGGCTCTAATTATTAATTTAAAACCGGCCAAGAGCGTGTCGGGCCACGCTCAGTGTAGGGTTCCGTAGTTTCCCGTCCGTCACAATAACTGTTCCCACTTATGAGTTTAATGGTGGGTATCCATTATGTTCGCGCTCCAGCAGCGCTCCGCGCTCCTGCAACTGCTCCCGGTAGTGGGTACGTGCGCGAACATGGAGCGTGCAACATTGCACGCTCCGCGGCAGGTGCTCCGACTTTTCATCCAAGTTCAAAATAATTTTCCTAGAAAGTCCTTATAAAGTTCTATTTTTCAGATTTTTTTCATATTTTCTAAACGTATGGTTCAAACGTTAGAGGGGGGGGACACATTGTTTTTTACTTTTGGAGCGATTATTTCCGAAATTATTGACATTATCAAAAAATGATCTTAGTAAACCCCTATTCATTTTTAAATACCTTTCCAACAATATATCACACGTTAGGGTTGAAATTAAAAAAAAAATCACTTCCCACTTTACATATAGGGAGGCTACCCTAATAAAACATTTTTTTCCAATTTTTATTTTACCACTTTGTCGGCGTGATTGATACACATATTGGTACCAAATTTCAGCTTTCTAGTGCTAACGGTCACAGAGATTAAGCCAGGACGGACAGACGGACAGACAGACATGGCGAAACTATAAGGGTTCCTAGTTGACTACGGAACCCTAAAAATGTTTTGACGGCGCAACGATACATGTCTTTTATTCCCGTCTCCGACGGTGTACTCCCGCTCTCATTTGTTTGCGGGATAGTGTTTGTTATTGTTTCATTTTCTTTGATAGCGTTCAACTGAAAAGTTGTCTTTTATTTTGTTAACGTTTTGTGTTGGAAATTTAAAATGTCCAAGCGAAAAAAGTAGTGTTGTCTCCTAACGACAAAATGAAGATAATTGAGAGTATAAAAAATGGTGAATCTGGCAGTAAGTTGGCACAAATATATGGTGTCGGAACTTCTACGATATCAGAAGTTAAAAAAAATTCTGATTCCATAATGAAATTCACCTGCGCGCTTAAGCAAGAAGATATGAAAAAATCTCAAAATGAAATTCTGGAGAATGCAGTTTTACTTGATTCTTACAAAAGAGAGCATACGGTCAGCCCATATCTGGACCTCTGTTATGTGAAAAAGCATTGGATTTTAATCAAAAACTTGGTGGTGATACTTCTTTCAAGCCGAGCTGTGGATGGTTAGCAAGATTCAAATTCAGACATGGAATTCGAGCACTGGAGATTCAAGGAGAAAAACTGTCTGCTAACGTTGCATCAGCCGACTCTTTTGTAGACGAGTTGAAAGAATTTCTAGATGAAAAAAATACGATTTAGATTTCGTATACAATGCGGACGAAACAGGTCTTAATTGGAAAGCTCTACCAAGCAGATCATTAGCATCGCGACGTGAAAATGCAGCACCGGGGCACAAAGTGAGTAAGGACAGAGTTACAGTTATGGTTTGCGCAAACGCTAAAGGAACACGATTGCCACTGCTACTTATTGGTAAATCAAAAAATCCGCGCTGTTAAAGTTTAGTGTTAAAGTGTAGTGTTAAAATACCCTTAACTTACGCTAACCAACAAAATGCGTGGATGAACACAGATATTTTTCTTATTTGGTATGAAAACCGTTTATTCCTGAAGTGAAGAAATTTCAAAAGGACGTGGGTAAAGAGGGCGATGTATTGTTGTTATTAGATAATGCGCCAACACACCCTTCCGCTGAAACACTAAATCGAGAAAATGGGAAGTTCACGGTTAAGTTTTTGCCCCCTAACGTAACATCGATATTGCAACCTATGGGCCAAAGTATCATTGAAAGTTTAAAACGTTTATACAGAAAGCAGCTACTGCGTCGTCTTTTATCAGCGGACGACAGTGAAATAGAAACATTGTTAAAGTTTTTTAAAGAAATTAATTTAAAAGATTGTTGTTATATGCTGGTAGACGCGTGGAATTCCGTGGAATTGCAAACATTAAAAAGGGCATAGAATAAATTATTAAAATTAACTCTATCTGATTCTTCAATTAAACCGCACAACGATTTTAAAGAAATAACCGAAGCAATGAAAATTCTTAACATTGATGAAGGGTGCGATGAAGAGAATATTATGGAGTGGCTAAACTGCGATAGTGAAGACTCTGGATTCCAAATATTAACTGATGAAGAAATCATTGAGAATTTAAACAGTAACGAGAGAGAAGATGAAGAAGGGACTGAAACTGGTGATGTATGTCAAGTACCTTCTCACGCAGAAGCTTTTGAAGCTCTAGATGTTGCTTTTAAGTGGTTTGAAAGACAGGACGAATCGGATCCCATACAGTTATTACAACTGAAGCGCATCAGGGACTTGGCTGCGAGAAAAAGATGTGATTCATTACGTCAAAAATCTATAACAAGCTATTTCCAACTAAAATTTTAAATTATATAGGTATTATGTAATTCATTATCTATCGTTATAGCTCGTTTTTTATATATCGTATTATCTAAGTAAAACCTATTACATAATAAAAAATTATTAAAACTTAAATATTATTTGATTTGCTTTGAAATCGGTTATCCGGATTTTCGATTATACGGAATACCCCTGGTTTTAATTGATCCGGATAATCGGGATTCTACTGTACGAGAATTGCTCGTTTAAAGGTATAGGATTCCAAAATTGTATAACACTTGCAAGACTATTACTTAAATTATGGGAAAAAATGTTTTAAAGTGTACCCCAAGGCTTTCCTCAAGCCCGTTACTTAAGATTCTAGTTTGAGTGAAACGGAGGGAACCAGTTGACAAGTGTGAGCGAGACAGATAGTAACGCTATTTTTCACTGTCGCACACAAAATTAAGTTCAGCACATTACGCTCCTTCGTTTTTTGCGCATCTTTCTCCATTCTTTCGTGTTGATTTCGTATTTGGCTTCGTTTTTTCTTTGTATAGAATAAGGGTGACAAACGAGCACACAGTCCACCTGATGGTAAGTGTATGCTGTGGCCCATAGACATCTACATTTATCCTCGATTAAGAATCCAAACGCAGATGCGTTGTCACCCCTAAGGACTAAGATTGAATGACTCTTTTACAGTATAAAACGAAAATTAAAAATAGTTAAAAATTTGTAGCAACAGAAGTTAAAAAACCGTCATAGGATGTAGATTTTCTTTCTATACTTTTTCATAAATGCTGGTAATTTTTAAAATACATAGCAAAGATTTTTTTTAGTTGTATATGGATGTATATATATAGAGGACTAAGATACATATATAGGGTCTCCTGTTCTCTACACTCACCATACGAAACACAGCAGCATTAAGCTACTATTTCATGTTGGCATTCTGTGAGAGCGTGGTTCTTCCTCAGTCAAGCTCACCCATTTGAACTGCAGCCATAAACCAGCTATATCTTGACTACTATGTTTAATATCTAATTTTAGGTTACAAAATATTATTATAATGAAAGACATTTACGGATTAGTTTCCAACGGCAAAGGATACAAAATCCCTTGGCAGTACAGTTAATATAATTTTGAAGACAATTTATTTCTGGGTATATGCATCTTTAGCACTGACCTCTATATATACAAGTGCGCTGGACTAGCTATACACCGTGACGTGATAAGGCAATTTGATTTGCGCCATTTTGGCGCTGAGAGCAGAAGTGCACGTCCAAGAAACTAATAATAGGGACAAGACTGTGTGACAAAATATAGCGATAAAAATTCTATACCCTACCTATAACTAAATAAATAGAATGGACTCTACACGTAACGTCCATTCTATTTATGTGTCATATTAATATAATTCCATTATCATTCATCATCATGAAAACCCTTCACAAGTCCACTGCTGAACATAGGCTTCCCCCAAGGAATGCTATAAAGCACGGTCCTGAGCCACCTGCATCCATCAACTTCCTGTATGTCTTACTAGGTTTTCACTCCATCTAGTGGGGGGGACTTCCGACACTTCACCTGCCGGTACCAGGCTGCTACTCGTGAATCTTTTTTCCCCATCGGTTATCGGTTCTTCGAGCCATACGGCCGGTCAACTGCCACTTCAGCTTACTAATCCATTTTACTGCCGATATCCTCATTCCTAAGTTTATCCTCATACGCTTTCCAGCTTCGGCTGTGCCACGTACTCTAGGGGGCTTGACATATCGCAACCCATGGGTTCTTGATCGAACACTCAATTGCCTTTGTCGGTGGATGTTGCGGAAGAGGAAGCTGCCAAAAACGGTGAATATAAACGATGGCCAGAATATGTATATAACAAATAAATTAAAGTAGGGCCACTACGAAGTTAAAGCACAAATTAAATTTTGAGACTCGACAGAGAATTAAATCCCTAGACTCGCATTTACTAAAACCCCATGGTGTTCTACCTCCGCCGCAAATTGACAGGGGCACGGAAACGCTTTTTCATGCACATCCGCGGTCCCTCCGGTGCCAGCCGCCCAATGGCAGCCCCTCGTTAATTCAGATAAGGCGCACCAGAAACACAAGGTACACTGCCCTTCGCGGACTCTGACTCTATTTGCACTACGGACTCCCCGAGCCCGATATGTGAATAAAGCCAGGAAAACACGAACTTGGAAGCATCAAGTGGTGCAGCCTCACTAAAGTCGCGAAGGATAGTCGAGTTGCATCGCATCGCCAATCGCCATACCAACACTCCTCTTCCCTGACGACTCTACCTCGTCTACAGCGGTACAGGGAGAGGAATCTCCTCTAGCCGCAGCCCACTAACACACATCCAACGTGGCTCGACATCATCAGGCGACCTTTCGACACTTGGCTATGGCCCTTGAGTTTGGGGGAAAATGAGGAAAGAAGAAATAAAAAAACATTCGGAATAATAATCTAATACTTTTATACTTACTGGTACTTGTACTACCAGAAAATATTGTTGAAATATTCCACTCTTTCAAAGTGGTGCAGTTCTCATGTCTAATAAAACAGTCGTCTGTGAAATGTTCGGAACAAATATGATCATTTTGTTACAAACGCCAATTCACAATATTTAAGCGTTTAAGCCATAATTTTAGTCTAGGTTCAGTTGAATGCCCGTTTACTAATAAACATTTGATAATCATCTGTTGTTGGCGACTTTGTTTGTGAACAGATATGGGTAGGAAAGAACATCGATAAGTATTATAGACAAGGAACTCGACAACCCTATTGAATTTTATTGTTTATCAAAACTCAGTAATATACAGCTGTATATATGTTGGTATATATATATATATATATATATATATATATATATATATATATATATATATATATATATATAAACTTGTTTGATAATAGTTGCAAATTCACTTACTTGTGAATGTTATACCACTTCGCTTTTGGTAACGAGTTTTACACATTACGCACACTCTCAGTTATTGAAAATAATTCTTGTTATTTAACTAACATTATACATAATCAAACAACATAAAATACTTTCGTTTTGTAGTTTAAAAAGTAAATATATATAATAAAGTATAATAAAGTTCAAAATAAAGATTTTTTCAATATGACAATTTAAATAAGACAATAGACTGGCATATTATGTCAATTTTTGTTTCCAAGACGACCGTTAGGGGTGGTTCAAATTGGCACAGACATTTTGTATGGTATAGCCAGTCCAGCGTACTTGTAGAGGTCAGTGATATTTAGGCATTTTTTTTATAGAACAGGGGGCAAACGAGCATGCGGCTCATCCGATGTTAAGTGACTACCGCCGCCCATGATCAACCGCAACACCAGGGGAACTGCAGGTGCGTTGCCAACCCTTTAGAAAGGAGTAAGCTCTTTTCTTGAAGGTCCCTAGGTCGTATCGGTCCGGAAAAATCGCCGGTGGTAAACTATTCCACAGAGAGATCGTACACGGAAGAAAACTCCTTGTGAAACGTACAGTGGTGGACCGCCAAGCATCCAGACGGCGTGGATAGTATCGGGAAGATTGCCGCGTAGTGCGTTCACGAAATTTGGAGGCTGGGATTAATCCGAACAATTCCTCAGAGCACTCCCCGTGGTATATGCGAAAGAAAATGCGAAGACATGCATCTCTTCGGAGCGCCAGTGAATCGAGCCGATCGGAAAGCACTCGATCGTCGACAATTCGAGCCGCTCTGCGCTGGATACGGTCAAGTCCAGTGGAAGGAGCTGGCACTGGGGAGGCCCAGCCCAGAGATTTATTCCATTTGCCGAACCTGCGCCTTGTAAAGTTGCAGTCGGTGTGCCGGCATGAAATACTGTCCCGCTCTGCTGAACACGCCAAGCTTTTTAGAGGCCAAATTCAGCCTTCTCTTCCAAGTGACCACGAAACTGCACATCACTCGATATGTCAACACCGACGGTTCCGATACTGCCTGAGGCAACGAGGGCAGTGCCTTGAAACTGAGGAGATACGACAAAGGGGTTCTTTTTAGCGGTTAAAGCGCAAACTTGTGACTTCTGAGGATTAAACTGGATTAGATTTAGTCGCCCCCAGTACGAGATTTTGTTAAATAAAGTCTCGACTTCAGACACAAGTTTGTCCCGGTACTCGGAGTCGTTTTCCCGATAAACATTGGCACGGCCGGTGTACAGAGCATCACCAGTGCTGTCATCTGCATAGCAATGAATGTTACGGGTTTGCAACATACTGTTACGAGCTTGAGGTTCGTGACAATAAAAATTGCCGATAAAATTACCTAAATTAACACTTTAATTTACTTAAAACACTAATAATTAAATACACTATTTCACTTTATTCCGCTCCGAAGCTTCGCTTGTCTCGCCAAATCAACACTGCCTCGATCGCATCTTGCAGCGCCTATTTATATAAATTAGCAATGAAGCATCCGGAATATTCAAGTAAATGCGCGTAAAGCGACGCGTGTTCGAGTGTAGATTTTCTAGAAACTTAGTTCTTCGGATGGCGCTGTCGGTTGAAAGATTTGTGATGTCATTTTCTGCAAAGCTCCCCTCGCTCTCGTTCCTGACACTAGATGGCGCTAGTGTATGACGTTGACTTATTCACGCAACAATATCATTGATATGCAGAAGAAACACTTTTTTTATTTTTTGACGATAGCTTTCGAAAGGATCAATCGATTTCGATGTAATTGGTGGCAATCGACTAGGATTTTAAGAACAATAATAAATTCTAATAGATCGGGGAAAACGTTTCTTTGTATTTTGTTAGTATAAAATTGAAGAAAAATCTCTTTGGTTGTACTGTTTGTATCTGGCTGGTTTTAATATCAATACGTATAGGACATTGAAGTTAAAACAAGTAAAACAACACTTTCCCGCCATTTTCCAATTGCTTTTCTGTTCGCTAAAATGAATGAACCTAACAAAGAAATTCTGCACATTCTGAAGATTTATTACAAAAAAAAAGAAAAAATGCGACTCAAGCTGCGAAAAAAATATACGAAGTTTATAGAACTAAT